ACGGCATGGAGAAAAAAAAAGAGAAAGGGAATCTCCACCTTTTCGGTTTCTGGTTTGGGTAAGTGAAAAATATGCAACAGTTTGGGAAACATTAAAAGGGGAAGATTTCTAGGAATGAGCTAATGAACCTACAGCTTTACTATGCACATTTGAGAACGTTCCTGAGAAACATTTGGGTGTGGCCAAAGGAGGATTATCCTATAAGGCAGTGGTTCTCAACCTGTGGGTCGCGACCCCTTTGGGGGTCGAACGACCCTTTCACAGGGGTCGCCTAAGACCATCGGAAAACACATATATAACTACATATTGCTTTTGTGATTAATCACTATGCTTTAATTATGTTCAATTTGTAACAATGAAATTGGGAGTCACCACAACATGAGGAACTGTATTAAAGGGTCGCAGCATTAGGAAGGTTGAGAACCACTGCTACAAGGAGACTGGGACGTGTCCAGAGACCAGGAGAGAGTGGTACTAAGAAAAGTGGTTAAAGGGAAGCTAAGCATCTCTCCCCTCCCACTCACCTCACTGAAGGTATCAATGCTTACAGCCTGTGTATTCCTTCCCTACTTTTCCCCAGCTTATACAACTATGTGTAAACACATCACACATTTCTACTGGTTTCATTTTTTTTTACCAATATAAAAGTGTACTATATATATTACTTTGCAAAGAACTTATTTCTTAAAAATAGACATTCCTTCAAGTCTGTAGTTTTTCTATGCATGCATTTTTTATAATTTTACATAAATAGGATCATAGCATACATGTTGGGATACTCTTAGTACAGTCTTGCCTCTCTCTTGTTTTCTTTCTACCTTCTTCCTCTCCCTCTTTTTTTCTCTCTCCACCTCCACACCCCTGGTATAATTATGTATCCTTCTGTGTTTTTCTCCAAGCTCTTGATCTGTGGATCATACCTATGCATAGTTTCAGTCATATCTTTTGCTAGTCAATTTGTAGAGCTTTGTATATTGTAGATATAAAATTACGTTAGTATTTGAAATCATGTTTTGAAATAAATTATTTATTTTTTGACTTCTGTGTGACAAAATGACATGCCAAGTCCTTTCTTGTTGCTATTGTTGGTGGTCTTGTTGCATAAGAAAGTCTATTAGTCATGCCTGGCTGGCATGGCTCAGTGGTTGAGCGTTGACCTATGAACCAGGGGGTCACGGTTTGATTTCTGGTCAGGGCACATGCAAGGTTGCAGGCTCGATCCCCAGTGTGGGGTGTGCAGGGGGCAGTCAATCAATGATTCTCTATCATCATTGATGTTTCTATCTCTGAAATCAATAAAAATATATTTTTTAAAAAGTCTATTCAAAACAAGTCTCCAGATCTTGGCAGATAAATACCAGAGTTGAGAGCCACTGCAAAATACCCCGAAGCACAGCAGGCTGTGCTGCCCGGGCTCGGTGTCCTTCCCCGGGTCTAGGCTGCATGGAGAGCCGGCGCCCATCCATGCGCTTGCCGGCCAGGGCCCCTTGCTGTGCGGCTTTGTGGTTGGTCCAGAGGAGGGCCAGGCTGGGTCGGGGGGGCGGGGATG